AGCAAATAAACATGAAAAAATGCTCAACATCACTGGTCACTGGAGAGATGCAAATGAAAACATCACTGAGATTCCACCTCACTCCAGAAAGAATGGCTGCTTTCATGAAATCAACCAATAACAAATGCTGGCGGGGCTGTGGGGAAAGAGGAACCCTCCTCCACTGGCTGGTGGGAGTGTAGACTGGTGCAACCACTGTGGAAATTAGTATGGAGACATCTCAAAGAACTAGGACTAGAGGTCCCATTTGACCCAGCTATTACCTTGCTGTTTATCTTCCCAGAAGAATTAAAAGAATCATACCATAGAGATATATGTGCACCCATGTTCATAGCAGTACAGTTTGTAATAGATAAAACATGGAAACACCCCAATTGCCCATCAACTGGAGTCTGGATAAAGATGTGAGGTTTTTTTTCCATGAAATGGAGTACTACTCAGTCATAAAGAATGAGAAATTAGAGACATTTATAGCTAAACGGATGCACACTGAGGCGATACTCTTAAGTGAAATAAATAGGACACACGTGTACATACCAAATAGTTTCTCTAGTGTGGGAAACTGAAAGAGTAAATAAGGGCTAAAATGTGTAACAGATAATGTGAAATAGGAAGAAAAGGGGCAAAGGGGAAGAGGAAGTGGGAGGAGTAGGGGAATGGAAACAAGGGAATGGAATTGACACTGCATATTTGAAAAAAATATAGGGAGTGGAATTAATACGAGAAAATGAAAAACTGGAAACAAAATCGTTGTAATTAGGGAGGGGCTGAGGGGTTGCAGGGAGGGCAGGGAAAAGGGGAAAATATAAGAACCAAGATAGATTATGTAAAGGTGCAAATTTCCAATGATGAATGTCATTATATTGTACACCTAAAATGTACCAATAAAATTTAAAAAAATAACATAAAATAAAAGGTGTCCAATACACCCTGAAGATAGATCTGTAACCAAGTATCAAAATAATAATTTCTGTAGTTTCATTAGGCTATAAATTCGTAGTAAGCTTCTACAACTAATGTCTAATAAATCACTTTTCAAATCACTTGCTTTCAATGTTTCTATGAAACAAATGCCTCTTTATAATGTTATGAAAAAAAAACTTATGCCCTAAAATGTATTGTTAAATAGAAAGATGCAACCTAATCCTAGTTATAATTGCCCAAAAGCCTTTTGCAATCAAATTTAGGTTCTGAGATTGAAAATATTCCTTCCAATAATTCTGTGATTATAGCTAGCCTCTGGAAAGAAAAAATTATAATAAGAAAATAGAAAAGGGTAATTTCTAATTGTAGTTTTTAAAATCCTCTTTCTTGTGCCTCAGACATTACTTGATGTTACTGATTATGATATGGTAGAAAAGACCACTGTCACGATTCAGATATGGCTTGAGTGTGTCCCCCAAAGGTGGAATGTGCCAGAAGATGGTCCCCAGTGTGGCAATGCGGAAAGGTGGTGGAATCTCTAAGAAAGAGGCCCACTGGGGGGTCTGTTATTTTTATTATACAGGTCATAGAGGGCTTATCACTCTCTGAGGAGATACATGTAGTTTTTGAGAGAACCAGGTCAGTTACTGCTAGAGAAGGTTGTTATAAAGAGCAAACTAGGACCTGGAATCTTTTTCTTGCCATTTGATAGCTTTCATGCACTCCTACCATGATGTCATCCACTACATTGTGATATGCAGAAATCCCTTACTAGAGCTAATGAAAGGCTAGTACCATGTTCTTGAATCTCCAAAACTATGAGCTAAATAAACATCTTCACTTTATAAGGCTCCCAGCCTCAGGTATTTTGTTACAGCAAGAGAAAATGGACTAAACTACTTAATGTAAATGAGGCAATTTTTCATAATCAACAGTTCACTACTGGATGGGCTTCTCACATGACATTGATTCCAAGTATTACTCACTCTTTACAATTACGAAGCCTATCTTAGTGAAATAATAGAAAATTTAAATGTTTCCTAATAATATATAAATTTTTTACTTAAACAACAGACTTAAAAGTTGAATAGAGATATGTTTAGCTGTAATCTAGTGATAACAATGGAAAATAATGACAAGAAACTTGATAATATAAATTTCAATGGGAACTGTGGAAAAACTTGTATCCATATCTATTAAAATTACAACAGATGATTTGCAATAATCTACATGTTTGTTAATTCATGGGCCAAAAGAACAGTGTTTTATTTTAGTGGACTAAATTAACCATTAAAGGTCATAAACTACAAATGCATTTTTATTATATGACTTATTTATAAAAATTAGATTCCCAAAAAAACTCAAGGCTAGATCAATATGAAAAAATGGATTGAATAAGAATCAAGCAAGAACTTTGTAAATCTAGGTTGCTTATTTTATGATCTACCAGGAACTACTGAAAACAAGTTGGAATTCTCAGTAGTTTACGAATTATACCTTTGAATAAGTTTAGTGTCATGGGTCTCCGTAGTTTAAGTTTTAGAAACTGGCAAGTTTAACAAATAGAATGTTTAGTTTTAAGTGTTGAATCTATTAATACAGTTGAGCTTTTAACCCCACTGGTTCCTTAATCAATGTCTAACAAAGTTAATAGCCAACAATCTCCACATACACAAAAAATAGTTCAGCAGAACAATGACTTGAAGGAAAATACTTATGCAACATGGGAAAATTCAAGGCATATAACTGAAATTATTACTAAATTATTACTAAATGCTATCAAAATCATGAACCTCTGAGAGTTAAATGAAAACTCTGGGTCCTCTTAGAAGGGAAAAAATGTACAAGCCTCAGATTTGGGTTCAAATTATGCCTTTTATTTTTAAAAGTCAAGGGAACTATGTCACTCTCAAAATATATACTGTTTTTTGTTTCCCTTACACCAATGATACCACAGTTCTGTTAAATTGTTTTTCCTATAAATACAACATTCTACAGATGACATCTAAATATATTATATATTTACTCACTAATAATATATGCTTACTGATAATTACGTGCTCTTTTGGCACAAATTTCAATCTCATGTTGAATTTTGTTTAGATATAGAGTATGAGATGGGTGAGAAAATTTACTGCTTTGGTTTGCTTGCATTTGTACTGTATTTACAATTTACACATAGCTTAAACTAGTCCAAAAGATATTTAATAATCAAAGATCTTAGTCATTTTAAACTTGATTTCTGATGAAATTCTAGATGACAGAATTTTATATTTTCTGACTTTTTGTCCATTACAGACAGTTCGATATTTTTGGATATTTATTTTACTTACCTAAATCAGGCTTTAGGTCAGTAGGCAAGCTTAATTTCCTTGACATCTTTGCTGAAAAATAAAATGTATTTTTAAAATTTTGAAGAATATTTTATTCTTTGATTAACACCAACTGATTTTCAAGATAGAAGTGAATACTTTTATTACTAAGCCTAGATGCTAAGATAATTAAAATATGATTAATAATATTAGGAGTGGAAATAAAATCTTAACTTCCAACTTCTTATAAGTTTATAGTACTTACTTTACTTGATGTAGTGTCTTTGTATCCTTGAAGCGCTTACTTCAAGGAAGCCTTTTACATTTTAACATTTAATTATTACTGAGGCTTACAGGAAAGGGCTAGACTTTTCTAAGCGAAGAAAAGTCATTTCCAGAAGATGTCGCAGATGAGGGCAACAGAGGCCCCAGGCAAAGCTCAGGTAAGTGACAGAAAATCTTTCCGGTGTCCCGCCTTCAGTTATAGGGCTTTTTGTTTTTAAAGTTAATTTGTAGAATACAGTCACACCTACTTCCACAATCAAGTTAAAAAATTTGATCACATCATATCTGATTCAGCCATTACTTCATATGTTAATATTTCCATTTATATTTCAGTAAAAAAAATCAGTCATGTTTAATCTAAAAGTACAGTATTTATATAATAGGATTCATGTAGTATTAGAAAAATTAAAAGCTAACATATAAATAATCCTAGAGGAATTCACTTTCCATCCTCAAAATCAGTTATTGTCTTAATCTGGGAAGTAATTTAAAGTTAGGAGTTGTTCAACTATTTTTACTATGTTAGTGGTAGTGCATGCGTAATAGAATAGGGCTCCCTAGGTGAAATTTTGAAAAAGTATGTGTTTGTTAATATATGAATGCATACACTAGGTTAAACTTTGGACTGTTAGGAGATATTTAAAGCACAGACCCTGCTAGTCCATAAGGGCGCCATGTAAACAAAGAGAAATCCAGTCATAGTATATAACTTCCACATCTAAAAAAATGACAAATCCAGTGTTAGGAAACAGGCATTAGGTAGACCGGAAAGGGATGAAGGAAGATGACATCGTTTTTAAAAAAAAAAAATCTCAAAGCTTTATTAATCTAATTAGTATTCTTTAATAAACAACCAATGGATCTCATTTACACATCAGTCATCCTATTTTCATCAACTTATAAATTCCAATTAATAGTTAAAGTGTAATACAAAACTAAAATAGCCAAATAAAATCTATGGTTAGTTGATCTCACATACATGGCTGTCATATGTTTGATACACAATACCCTTAAAATTAGAGGACATTACATCCCCAAAACAGTACCCTAAAAGGCAGTATTGTACAATCTGAAAGAATTCAGAGATTTATATCAAACATCATAGGTTCAATATTCACAGATAAGTAGTATCTATACAATATATACAGTATCTAAAGTAGATCAACCTGACATAAAGATCTTAGAATCTGATGATATGAATGCTACCTCTAGTCTGATTTGTTCAACAAGTTATTTTCAGCCTTTGGCTTGTGCTTTTCAAACTTGGATGTTTATACCAATCATGCCAGGATATTCTTGAAATGCACATGATAATTCTAAAGCCTGAAATTTCTAACAAGCTCCCAGAAGATGCAAACTTAGCTGGTTTGTGGACTGCACTTTGAATATAAGGTGTCTAGACTAAGTACTTTATGGCCAAAATCAGCACAAATTCATTAAGTTCAGTATGTATATATGGGAAGTATGCGTGTGCCCAGCTCGCATGCACACACATACACACCCCATTTCTTGATCAAGCTTCTCTATTGGGAGGAAGGGAAAGATCAGGGAAGAAAAATAATTGGGATATGGTATGCAGTGGTTAGGGCTGCATTCAGAATCAAACTAAACTTGAGTTTGAATCTACCTCAACCAGTTACCTGGCCAATTACTTTGTCTCTCTAAACCTTGAATATCCTCATATGAGGAAATGAGGCCAGTTGTGAGGACTATGTAACATGATGTAAGCAAAGAATTAAGCATAATACTAGGCACACAAAGATTTAATAGATGTTAGTTATTACTAATGAGTAACTTATCATAAACTATAAAACACTATACAAATAAGCTGTAACTATATTTGCAAATAATCCAATGGTCCTTCATTCTAAGTCTATGGTAATATTCCAGGTAACACAGAACAAGGAAATGGAAAAAAAAAAACCTTAGGGACAAGAGTAAGCACAAGCTTTCAAATTCATTTCAAAGACTAATTTCAATATATAGCTAAACATGCCAAGGAGAAATAATGTAATTTTAAAAATACAAATAATAAGCTTGTTTTTCTTTAAATAGATTGAGAGTTTATCAATTAGAAATGTTTCTATTGATGCTTTCATTCAGTAAATAGACATGTTTCTACCAAAAATATCACTAGGTTTCCTTCTGAATTTTATTAACTGTATACTTTTGAATAGCAGGAAGATGAAGGAAGAGGAGTGATGGAAGGGATTTAAATCCCTGGGATTGGAACTTTTGCTAAGATATGTTTTTAAAGGGGTTCTTTTCCTTGTATGATGAGGCATCTATCTAAATGTCTATTAACTGACAGGCAGCAGAACTGTGGATCTAGCATGGGTTCGTCTTAAGTGAGACTAACTTGAGCTATAATCATCTACCCTTACATGATTTTTACTAAAATTTAATGTTTACATTTTTCTCTTGCATCATATATATTTTAGTGTGAAGCCTGAACAATTTCATGCAGTGGTTGTGTGCCAGACATATCATCAACAACAGTTAAACTAGATTTACAAAGTTATTTTTTAAAATAATATATTATTATAAAGAAAACAATGCAAAAAAATACAAGTTTTAAGACATCCTGTCAACCAGCAATAATCATTAAGAGTAACTAAACATCCTTCTGATTCTCTTTGTATAGATGCAATAGATGATTACTGATAAGTATTTACCTAACTTTCACTCCTAATTTGGAATTTTCTCTTCTTTTTCTAACTTCTTAAGATGCAGACTTAAGATCACCGAATGAGAATGGTTCTTTTCAAATATAAGTGTTTAAAGTATAATACTTCCCAGACTTGGCTTCAATTCTCACAAACCTTTAGGAATTCTTTCTTATCTGAGCAGTTCTTTTCTTAATACCCAGCTCCACAAATTCTATTCACTGTAGCAGCCTAGAATCACAGTCCATCTCCTTGGCTTAGTGCAACTCCACTTGGGCTCCACCCAGCCTGTGCTGGAACTGGGGAGTATGGTGAGGCAGACAGCTGGGAGACTTGGGAGGTTCACCTCATGCTTTTTCTTTCTTTCAAGGTGACAGTCCTGGAATGCTTGCTCAATTCCTGGGAATGATAGGTTCCAATATTTGGATCAATTTTATGGTTTTCTGAGGAAAGTTAAACTGTAAACATTAAGGTTTAAAGCAGAACTTTAGAATAAAAGTCTGCATCTTTCCATTTCTGTGACTTCTGAGGAATATACTTGTTTGCAAGTCTGTTTGTCAACTTCCTGGATGGCTGGTCCAAAAGAGGCAGATCCATCTCTGGAGAACCTCTTATCTGGTCAGCCCTTGTGGTTCATTTCCTGTACTTTGACATAGTTTTGACATGAAAAGATTATAGATTTTATCCAATGATTTTATGATGTTGATATTTTTACTTCTCAGAAGCACTTGCCAATCCAGTTACTCTGTCATCTGAGTTTACTGAATTTATTAAGAAACTTCTGTTCATGCCTTGATGTTGCTCATGTTCCACTGTGGCCTTCAAGCTGAAGGCACACGATTTAAAGGGGTCCCTGGAAGATAGGCTGTTTTTCATTTCTTCACCTGTGTACTCAACTGTTGTCCCCGACACTCAGTATCCTTTTTTTCAAAATTCTTTGTCACTGGACAGTACAAACTAGCTCCTTTTCCTAAGCTTTTATGCACATAAACAATGGGAACAAAAGCAAAGAGTTCCTAAATCTGAGGAAAATTGGTGAGGAAAATTGCTGTAACAAAATACCAGAGGCTGGATATTTTATAAAGAAAAGAGGCTTAGTTAGGTAACATTTTTGGAAGTGGAAGGTCCAAGAGTGAGTAGACCTATTGATTCTGCCATTCATGAGGGCCTGAAGGGTGATTGCCTTACAGTGGTAGTATATGTGAGAAGAGATTACATAGTGAGAAAAGAAGCCAGAGAGGGATACATGGCTTTTTCATAACAACCCATACTAGTGGGAATTAACCAGGGTCCCCCAAACACTATATTATTCCCTTTGGAAGGCAGCACCCCCAGTGACCTAATTACTTTGTCTTAAGCCCTACCTTTTACAGGTTCTACTACCTCTCAACATTGCTACACTGGGGACTAAGCTTCCAATTAGTGAAACTCTAGAAGACCTACTCAAACCATGTCCAAATCATAGCAAATACCAAGGAAAGATGTATGATGTTCAAGAAACAAATCTTTAGGCAAAGGACTGCTTAGGCCACTATGAGTTTTTTCATAGTTGATGATTTTTAGTCCTCTGAAACAGGAGAAATCTTGTAATGTTTCTCAATTGTGGAGATTCTCATTTGTTTCTTTGAAATTAAACATATTTTATAATTTTCCTTCAGTTTTTCTACCCATTGTGCCCATATTTAATTTTCTATACATGGTTTTTTAAAAGAAAGAAAAACAGAACCATAACTTCTACTTTGTAGAATGAGTTTTTGGGGAAGGTCTGTGAGACTGGGGATTCAATCCAGCCCTTCACAGTGAGCTACATCCCCAGCACCTTATTTTTTATTTTGAGACAGGACCTCACTGCCCAGACTGGGCTCAAACTTGTGATCCTCCTGCCTCAGCTCCCCAGAGTATAGTAAAAACATAAAGATAAAAAAACTTCCTATGACACTATGATGAAGTTATCAGAAAAGCAAATTGATTATTGTTTATGAGATTCAATATTTAGAATAAAATAAAAATACTGCTGTTTTCATCACATGCAGTGATCCAATGCTGTTCTTTTCAAAAGGATCGTGCTTAAGTATACATATATTGAATGAAACCACCAGGATAGTTAAAGGACCTAAAAAT